TTCTCACGTGTTCTTGTTCACGTGGCTCTTTCCTAAGCTCTGGCCTCTCCCCTACACTCCAGACTTCTCCTTCAAATGAATGTTTCACAGGCATCTCACACTTGGAACTCCTCTTCTCACAGTCTTCTCCATCTCGATCTCAAGAAATAGCAAATTCCTTCTTATAGTTGTTCAGACCTGAATCATTGGATTTATCTTGACATTTCTCTTTCTTTTCCATTTTACTTCTGATCTCTCAGCATATCCTATTATCGCCACTTTCCAAATATATTTAGAATCTTACCACCTGTCCCCACCTCCACTCCTGTTACCCTGGTTTTAGCCACCATCACGTCTCACCTTAATTACAGAAATGGCCTCTTCCCTGCTCTCACCCTCGCTCTCTATGGTCTAGCCTCAAAATAGCCACCAGAGTAATGCCGCGAGAATATATGACAGACAATGTCACTCTATTACTCAAAATCTTCAGTGTTCCCTAAGTCACTCAGAGTAAAACCAGGGTCTTTACAATGCCCTGCAAGACCTACGTGAGTACTGATATCGTGTGCTATTCTTCCCCATATGCACTTGCTCCTCATCTTCAGACTGGCTCTCTGCTCCCCTTGTACTTACCGTTTCCTGGAGCAGCCTTCCCTTAGATACGTACACAGCCCACTCCTTCACTTCCTTCGGGTCACCGCTCAAATAGCGTCATCTCAGAGAAACTGAAACACTTCTCTTGACACTTCTTATTCATTCTCTTTCTGTTTTGTTTTTCTCCTTAGCACTTACCACTATCTAAAATTTGATACATTTTATTTTTTATCTTGTTTATTGTCTGCCTTCCTCATTAGAACGTAAGTTCCTTGTGCACAAAGTTCTTTGATTTTTTTCTCTGTTCTACCCTCAGGCATCTAGAATAATGTCTGGCACATAATAGCACACAGTAAATTTTTGTTGAATGAATAAATGAAATGTTAGCTGTTATTTTTTTATAGTCCCAAGTATAATGTCAAGATGAAAAAGAATGGTACAAGATAAGAAAATTATACCCATATGATTACAAGTGTATTGTACATAAAACAGCGGATTTGTTTCTGAAAAAAATGTGTCAAACTGAATGTTTAAATCAGAATATTTAAACTGTGCTAGCCATGTTCCTATTTCAAAGAATCTGTGATTGATTCTCTGTATAAAACAAAGGACTTTTAAAAAATAATTTTGGGGGCTGGCCCAGTGGCGCAGCAGTTAAGTTTGCGTGCTCTGCTTTGGCGATCTGGGGTTCGCGGGTTTGGATCCTGGGTGTGGACCAACTCAAGCCATGCTGTGGCAGCATCCCATATAAAGTAGAGGAGGACGGGCGCGGATGTTAGCCCAGGGCCAGTCTTCCTAGGCAAAAAGAGGAGGATTGGCAACGGATGTTAGCTCAGGGCTAATCTTCGTCACACACAAAAAATAATAATTTTCATATTTTTCCCCTAATATAGCCCCTATTAAGTTAAATATTTTGTCAAGTTTTCTTACTTCAAAATATGCTTATCTGTAATGTGTAAAAGCAAACAAAACGCCTTTGAACTTTAGACTAGTCCATTTTAATTCTAAAATAAATTACCAAGAAACCTAACGGAAACTCTGAAAGACATTAGTGAGATACTTAGGCTACTCTACGTAGTTCTATCCTCCCAACATCCCTCACCTACACCCACAAAAACCAGTGACAACCGTAAACAACCTGACATTTTCAAAAGGTCCCCAGGGGGCAGCATTGCCCCCACTGAGAACCCGTGCTCTATGGATAGAGTACAACTGAGATACTTCCTGTCTCCCCTTCTCACTGTTTTTGGACCTTAGCTCCTCTGATGGTAGTGCAGAATGGAGGAAGAGGCACAAGGGCAAATATCTTCTCCTTAAAGGGGGTATGTTTGTCCCCTGGGTTAGATGTAACTGCTACCTTAGCTTGTTGGTCTATGAATCTTCAGTCCTCCTCTTATATTCTGGTGAGGGTAGGGGTGGGGATGCTTGGTAATAGGGCTAGTAATCTGATCCAGCCCCTCTTAGGACTCCCCATGGAGAGATGGCCCAACCTGAAAGCTTAGAGATGAGCCACCCAGGTGGAGGGTTTGGGGGGAAGCTTGGGGATAGAGAGTAAATTAGATGATGTTATATCTGAATCCTTTTAAACCCTTGACTTCAAAACAACTCTGAGCATTTGGACTCTCCATGCAGACAACATATGCTGCCGTTCTCTGTGTGTCTGGGTGTCCTTGAGGGAAGTGAGAGTTTTGATCCTCACTCTTTGAATTTTCTCATACAAGACTGGTGGCATCACATTTGGCAAGCATTTTCAAACTTTCTAAGATTCACCTCCACCAAATGAAGTGTGTTTTACTTAAAATGTTATTAAACATGGTGAATCACAGTGTTTTAGAATTAAGAAAGTATTTGTTAATAAAGTGAAGTTAGATGCCTTGCACTTTTCTCTGTCTAGAGGAATATTTATGACATAGGTTGCAAGTGACTTTATCAACCCTTCATGATTCTCTTCTGCATAACAAACAATATACAGGACAATAGGCAGTAGTAAGGACCTAAAAGTTACGAAAGATATGGATACTCTTGTAAAGGTCCTTACAATCCATAGTGTCTTAGATTTCTTAGAAGCAGAGCCTGAGACAAGGATCTTTGTCCAAGTGATTTCTCGAGGGTGAGCTCTCAGGAGAAACCTCTGAAGGAAGGAAGAAAGCAGGATGAAGCAGAAGGTAGGCAAAGATGTAGTTTCAGAAGCCTAGCTTCATCTTGAACCCATGGGAGGTTCTGGAAGGTTCTCAATTACACCAAGGTTTTCAGCCCAGAGGCAAGTGGTCTGAGCTACTAGAACCGTACTTCAGCCAGCTATTTGCCACAGGTCACCCACAGAGGCCAGTTGAGGGTGTAATCTCCCAGACAGCACCAGTTGAAGTGATTCCCATCAACCAAGGACAGACCTATGTGGAAGGTTTGCCCTTGGCAGTCAATACCTGCAGCTGCTGGGGGGATGAGTACCTCAGCCTGGAAAGGGAGATCTGGGCAGGGCAGCAACAGCAACGGCTACGCGTGGTACTAAAGGAGCCAATTCTGTCCACATGATATCCTTTCAGAGCACTTATAAAGCCACCTATTAGCAAGTGACACATAAGACAGCACAGTCTGAAAGTCTAGAGGTACAGAGTAAGTGAGTACTGAGTGTTTGCCCTGTGCTATACACTGTTATGCAATCCTTATTCCTCTCAAGATATCTATAATGTAGGTAATATTATTGCTTCTATTTCCTAGTAAACTGAGGCACAGGTAGGTTAAGTAACTTGGTCAGGGCCCCACAGCTAGCGAGTGCCAGTGAATGATCATTTCATTAGCAATAATATGGTAGGGCTTCTCTGGAACAGAGAAAATGAAATTCTAAGCCCTACCCCAAATCAACACCTCTTAGGTTGGGCTCATATTTTAACAAGTTCCTAAAGCGATTCTTATGCACACTGAGATGTCAGAGCCATTGCCAAGTGGAATATGCTTTCCAAAATGGAGAAAAGTCCTGCAAAGGACAATATCAACAGGTAAAAATCATCAGCAGAAATAGATGTTTGTGAATTTTTATAGATAGTCTGAAGGAAGTGAGAAGGAAGGTAAGAATAAAATTGAGAATGGGTTGTCGAATACCAAACAATAATTACACAGGAAGAAATAACCTTTTTGTTGTCATTTGTTTTCTTAAAATAAGAACAGAATAGCAAAAATAAAAAGTATAGGAAACACTGACTTCGGGTACCCATAGGATGTTCTTTTTACCTCTGGGCTGGCATATTTAAACATTTATCCCTAAAAATGTGCTAAACTACCTCTTTCCCAGAGAAGAACAGGCTATTATAAAATAAAGAAGGGAAATAATGTTTCCTCAGAGGTTTTCGAAATAAAAACAAGGAAATATATAAATACAAGTAAATAGGTTAATTGTTGATATATGATTAGCAAAATATTTTCATGTAGAGGTACAATGTTAAGTTGTTCTCTGAAATAGCATATAGCCTGAATATGTCTGCTTTCATAAAAATATATTATTGTAAAAATTGGACCAGACAAACAAAAGAGAAAGGGAAAGGACCAAGAGAGGAGAGATTATAAGTATGACGCCACTTGGCTACAACAAATCTTTTCCATTTCATACAGGTACCACTAGCGACTGAACCGTCTTCCTCATTGTCCATTGATCTAATTAAGGAGAAGAGATTGCTAAGAGTGTAGAAGAGTCTATTCTTTTGTGATGTACATCAGTAGATCAGACTCACTATGTCCACTTTAACTTTCTGTGTTTGCTCATTGTTGCTATCCAATTCATTGTGACAGTTACGTACAAATTCCAGCTATTGTTTGGAGAAATACTTCTAAGTAATATGCTAGTTTGTTTCTGATTAACAAAGTTGTTTGCTATATTTCTATTCTATTGGTTCATATTTTAATCCACTATTTGTAAAGAACTTATAATAACACTTTTGTAAGATTCTCTGTTAATACCAGATTATAATACTCTAGTGATTTAGGGGATTAATGGACAGTCCTCAGAATGACCTCAAACTAACTTAAATGGCATAAATCATATGGTAGAGGGCTTTGGAGTTGGAGATGAGGGTTGGAAACCCTGATTTTTACACTGTGCAAAAAACTAGGGAAAAGGCAGAGCTTTGGGTATTTAAGATTATATACTGACTAAACTGACCTCTCCCAACGAACCTACTAGCAGGTGTTTAGAGTCCAATGCTTGGTTTAATCATATTAGTGAAGATTATAAAGAAGCTTTAAAGTTCCAAGTCTAGTGTGCAGTGCTAGAATTGTTCAGAGCATTCATGAGAAATTGATTATCATAGGAAGTAAAAGAAAGAAACAGTTCACTTAGTAAGTTAAGGGCTAAGGGAAGGGTTGGCTAACATTGACTTGAATCAAGTCCAGCAATTCGAACCTATGAACTAACCTTCTACCTTTTTGGTAGGCGAAAGATGCCAGTGATCAATATTGAGGACCTGACAGAAAAGGACAAGTTGAAGATGGAAGTTGATCAGCTCAAGAAAGAAGTGACACTGGAAAGAATGCTGGTAAACTGCTGCTCTCTTTTGAATTTTATTTTAAACTAGAGATACTGTGGCCACCAGGTTATATGCCGTTGAAGGGGAGCAGAATGTGCCACCCCAAAATATGCGTCTTTGGCATAAGGATTATTTAGGCTGATTACTTTTAAGAAACATCAGCACAGGAGAAGCTCTGAACACCAGGTAAGCAGAAGTTACCCTTTTGGAAGAGACATTTACGTTTATAAGGGAAATCTCCATTTGTAAGGGTGTCTCCTGCTCAGTAAGAGAAGGATGACTCTACATCTCTTATCAATGCAGAAGGCTAGGACTTCAATCTGCTTAACAACCTTACTTGTGTTAACTATGCTTTTCCTGGTCACCTCCCATAACTGGCTCCCCCACCTCTCAACATCTTCTTTTGTCTTTAGCTGGAGATGGTATTTAAGGTGGTGTTTTGGGCTATTTTGGAGACTTACTCAGTTTTCCTGGGTATCTCCCATGTGTACAGGAGGTATACATGTTATTAAACTTATGTTTTTCTCCTGTTAATCTGCCTTTTTTTTATTACAGGGGTGTCTCAGCCAGAACCTAGAAGGGTAGAGGAAAAGTCACCTTTCCTCCCCCACACCATTCACTGAAGAGGCTCAATGTGGCTAAAAATAAATTGTTCAGATAAAATTAATTGGGGATTGGGGCCAGCCCCATGGCCTAGTGGTTAAGTTCAGTGCGCTCTGCTGCGGCAGCCAGGGTTTGGTTCCCAGGCATGGACCTATACCACTAGTCAGCAGCCAAGCTGTGGTGGGCACCCACATACAAAATAGAGGATGATTGGCAACAGATGTTAGCTCAGGGCGAATCTTCCTCAGCACAAAAAAAAAAAAAAAAGAAAAAAGAAATTAATTGTGGATTAAGAAAATTAATAATCACAATTATCTCTTGATTTAGACTCTAAATCAAGGGTCTGGAAAACTATTTTCCATGGGCCGAATCCAACCCTTAGCCTGTTTTTGTATGACCACTAAGCTAAAAATGTTTTTACATTTTTCTAGAGTTATTAAAACAAAAAGGAAGGAAAGAAAGAGAAAATGAGGAATATGAGACAGAGACCATATTTAACAAAGCAATAAAATGAAGCAATGTAAATAGGCATTTTGTTTTTACTCCTCTAAATTGATAAGCTTCTCTTTATTTGATTTATTTGATATGGTTCAAATACTTTTAGCCAAGACCTCATCCCCTTCAGCACTGTCACGGCCAGTAATGAATGAGCACATTCTATTCCTTCTTTGCTAGTAAAAATGAGTTCAAGCCCAAGAACTCACTTGTTCCCCCTATAAACATCTGACAGATGTTAGAAATGGTTACCAAGAGTTCTCTGCCATTGGAAGGAGCAGAAATGGCAAAGAAATAAAAGTTTCCACCAAACAAAATGAAGCTTGGAAAATGTAGATATATACTTTAGATCTCTTCACTTTAGGAAAGTTAGTAGAATAAAAACTCCTCCACAAGTGATAAGAGTATATTTTATATTTTTTTAAAAACTCATTTTGCTTTATCAGGCCAAAGCAAAAAAAGGAGTTTGCATTATCTTCATACTTTGCTCAAAACCCTTGCTCCCAATAAAAATTGGAATTCTGGCTTCTTTTTATGTTTATAATTGTCTCAAACTTCCCCACTGCCCTTTCCGTACAGACAAAACATCTTTTGCTGTAAAGATAAAGTTAAATCTATAAACAGCACAACAGCTTGTAATACACACCCGAAAGTTAAAATCCTTATTTTTATAAATTGGGGAAAATAAAATAAACTTTTGGGATAAAAGAGAGCTATTTTTTCTTCTTTACTTGAAACTTCCAAAAGCTGTTTTATTATTTATATACTCAGGATTGTTGTTTTGCAGGCAATTTGGTTACCTTTATGTCTATTATTCACTTGTGGCAAGTTCACCTGGGAATTTTTATTTTGGGTAAACATCACATACATCACCATCTGTCAGGTTTTTGGGTTCCTTTTCCCTATTACTCAACGTCTCCTTGCTCTTGGAAGTCAAATTAATTTAATATCAGACTGCCAAAACCACACACACACACACACACACACACACACACAGAACTTCCAGGTCCTGAACCCATAGCTCTGACGCAGGATGGCGTAATGTCATTACAGTATGGTTAAGTGGATAGATGCTGGAACCATACCCCTGGTTCAGATTCTGGCTGCACAACTTTCTCCCTGTGTAACATTCACCTAAGTTATCTAACCTACCTGTGCCTCTGTTTCTTTTTCTGGAAATGGGAATAGTAACAACATCTAATTCAGAGGGCAATTGGGAGAAATAAATGGGATAACATATATATATCTCTGAGAACAGTGCCTAGTACATAGCAAGTGCTTTCTACCATTATTATTAATTTTTAAATTATTATTGATATCTGTGAACCAGACTGGTTCATAATATGCCTCAACTCAATTTTGCTGTCGGCCCTAGTACTGTCAGAGTAAGACAACTCTTTGCATCCAGTTTCTAAAGCTGACAGATTTGCAATGACTATAAGTCAATGTAATAGGCAAAGACTAAAGACAATCTTTGTAGTAATAGCTAAAAATAGCTACCATTTGGTTGAGCATCTATTGTATGCCAAGCACTTAATGCAACCAGTGTTGCTTTTCCTATTTCACAGATGAAGTAATTAAACCTTAGATGAACTATCTAAACTAAGGATACATGCACAGCTGGTAAGTGGGCAGAGCTGAAATTCAAACCTGGGATGACCCGAATCCAATGTCCATGCTCTTGCCACCATGCCATGTAATCCCGTATTAAACTATATATACTTATGATAAGCCTCCCTGAAACAGCTTTTTTATCCCGAGAAAGATTGGCCCTGAGCTAACATCTGTGCCAATCTTCCTCTATTTTGTTTGTGGGTCGCTACCACAACATGGCCACTGACAAATGACATAGGTCCGCGCCTGGGAACCGAACCCCCGGCCGCCAAAGCAGAGTGCACCGAACTTAAACACTAGGCCATGGGGCCAGGCCTTGAAATAATTTTTAAACACATACACTCACATATGATTTTAGGTAATTTATTGCTCCTCAGATCCTCAGATCCTAGCCAGACACTGTCAAAACCAAGCCCTCACTGACTCTTGAATTAGGACAGCAATTTAAACCTCTGTGCCTGACATCTAGTTGTGGCCAAAAGAGCTGGTGTTTGGAGAAGAGGAAAAATAAATGAATGTAAATCTCAATTTTGAATTTCAAGGAGGAAAAAGAGTGAATCTAAGTTACCACATATCTCAAAAGTGTGTATAAACTCCAAGTAGCATCGTATGAAGGAGCCACCTCACCAACTCCTTGCCCCAGTTAGGAATGGTTTGTTCTTTTTTTTTTTTTTAAAGATTTTATTTACTTATTTTTCCCCCAAAGCCCCAGTACATAGTTGTCTGTCATAGCTGCACATCCTTCTAGTTGCTGTATGTGGGACGTGGCCTCAGCATGGCTGGAGGAGTGGTGCCTCGGTGCGCACCCGGGATCCGAACCCGGGCCGCCGGGAGCGGAGCACACGCACTTAACCGCTAAGCCACGGGGCCGGCCCTGGAATGGTTTGTTCTAATATGTAGATAACGAGTTTGCAAGGTTGTAAAGTAATCGTAAGTCTTATGTCTAATGTTGTTTGGAATTTGCATACAAAAATGGCATAAAGATTTTATTTAAAAAATAAACCAATAAATTAGATAACTTACGGAATGGCCACCAAATGAAGTAGTTTTGTGTTCATGTCATGAATGGTATATTAAGTGAAAATGAAACAAGTTGAAAGTTAAAAGAAATGAACAGGGGCTGGCCCAGTGGCGCAGCGGTTAGGTTCACGCATTCCACTTCCACAGCCCGGGGTTCACCAGTTCAGATCCTGGGTGTGGACCTACTCACTGCTCATCAAGCCATGCTGAGGCGGCGTCCCACATAGAAGAACTAGAAGGACCTACAACTAGGATATACAACTATGTACCAGGGGCTTTGGGGAGAAAAAGAGAAAAAAAAAGAGGAAGATTGGCAACAGGTGTTAGCTCAGGGCCAACCTTCCTCAAAAAAAACAAAACAAAAAAAAAACACACACACACCTCATTGAAGTCTCCTATTAAAAAAGAAAACAAATGAATAATTTCATCACATGTGTATATGCATGTGTATACACACACACATCTATTTATATTTACATATGTATAGAATATTGCCTCTGTCTAAAAGGTGTATTAAGGGGTACATTAACAGGTTCTGGCTGAATCCATTAAAATACTAAAGCCTGATTTTTCAGGAAGTCATTAAATGGTGCTGATAAGTGAGGAGCAAGCTCATGAACAAAACAAATGATTCAGTTCAGCAAATATTCATTTACTGAGCACGAACTAAATGCAGGCTCTGTTCTAGGTGGCTGGGATACATGTGAACAAATCAGCCAAAGGTCCCTAACCCTTTGGAGCTTACCTTCTACTACACTGTCATGATCAATCATTGTAGATGAGTTTAAAATAAAATTACATGTGTATACATCTGAGAACCCAGGAGTGGTGATAAGCCTGGAATTGAACAATTATTCATTCCTTTCCACCTTTACAAGTCACATTTTTGGAGTAAGGAAAAAGATTTAATCAATGTTCACTCTGGTGACATTCTTGGCTTGTGTTGCCAGCTGTGTCCTGATCCCTGGATCTTGTTTCCTTTAAAGAAGCTGGAGGCAGTGTCTCCTGGGAACCCTTCGCTGGAGTGTGGCCAGCTGTTTATCCTTGGCCTGGACATATCCAGGAGGATAGGGGAGGGAGCAGCTATTTCTTCTTCTCTCCTAGAAAGTACATATGCATTGGCAGAAAGCAGAATCACATTAAAAAGAACACAAAAAATCATTATAATAAATACATCCTTGGATTCTGCAATATTCCATATTAAACCAAATGAGTCATCTCTTTCTCCTTTCCTTTAAGGTATCCAAATGTTGCGAAGAAGTGAGAGATTATGTTGAAGAAAGATCTGGGGAGGATCCACTAGTAAAGGGTATCCCAGAGGACAAAAATCCCTTCAAGGAGCTCAAAGGAGGCTGTGTGATTTCATAAAGGAAAGAAAAAAATCCTTGGAATATCTTGAGCTTTCATGACAATACTAACTTTTGGTCACATATAATAATACTATTAAGCATGTACATGAATTTTTAAACTTATTAAATATAAACTTTTAATAAAAATTGGAATGTGATAATGAATAAGACTATGTTTCTCTTATTAAACATAGGGTTTAACACATAATTGACAATAAATATTAATTGACCCCTTTCTTTAACAATAATTACTGTGTTTTATGAATAAGTCTATATTATTCTGGTTGCCTGCATATAGTTAATGTTTTCTGTTTTTTCACTTCCCTTTCAATACTCATAATTGAAATTTCATGGTTAGACTTATATTTTTCCCAACCTTTCTCTTGCTTACAGAGCGAGGAAGTCTCTTAGTTTGATCCACAGAAGACCTATCTTGGCAGAATGCGTGCTGAGATTTTTGTTGTTGATATTTTGCTTTCTGTTTCCTTTTCTCTCTCATTCCCCAGTCAGTGGTGATGGTTTTAACAAAACCTCTCCCTACGTTCTTACCAATTCTGCTTGTCAATAATGACGAGACTTTTTCCTGGATTGCCAACTGGATTAAGGGTTCAGTCTGTGGTCACAGAGCGCAGTGGATTTAACCAGCAGCAGAATAAAGGTTACGAGAAGCCAGACTTCTGGCTCTGGCACTTTACTACCTAACTGACTTTGGATAAATTATGTAATCTTTCTAAATCTCAGTTTCTTCTACTGAGGGTTAGGGATAATAATGGCTCTATTCTCTTTTTCATGGGGTTTAATATTATAATAGGGTGACTATAGCACTTAGCATATTGCCTGGCACATAGTGAGACTTAATGAATGTTAACTAGTATTATTACTGGGAAAGGAACTAGACAAAATGTCCAGAATCCTTTAAGACGCATGCTGTTCCATCCTATCCCCATGAAGACTTTCACCAGTACAGTCCTTTGTTCTGTAACATGTGAGGGTGAGATGATAGACAGATAGCTACCACCTGCATCATCCTGCTAATCAGTTTCCTCCTGGCATCTTACTGGGTTTGCATGAGCCAAATCTCACCATTTCTGTGCTAATGACTAAGAGATAACTTGTCTCTGTGTCTGTGTAACAAATGACAAGAGTTAATTACCCCAACTCAGAAACTATTTTTCTTTTTAATTTTTTGTTTATTGCAGTAACATTGGTTTATAACATTGTATAAATTTCAGGTGTACATCATTATACTTCTATTTCTGCATAGATTACATCATGTTCACCACCCAAATACTAATTACAACCCATCACCACACACACGTGCTGAATTATCCCTTTCGCCCTCCTCCCTCCCCCCTTCCCCTCTGGTAACCACCAATCCAATCTCTGTCTCTATGTGTTTGTTTATTGTTGTTATTATCTACTACTTAATGAAGGAAATCATACGGTATTTTTGGATGTTAGTGTTTCCTTGTTGCTGTTTCACATTCAGTGTTATTTTTGGGTACATCAGTGATCAGAATACTCAAAAGTGCTAATTGACTGTCATCCTTTTAAAACAAGGTATGAATTATCTATTATTTGGGCTGGAAGGGAATCTAAAGGCAGTCCCAAGTTTGGCCCCCAGCACAGTGCCCTCCCTCTCTGGCCAACAGTAAATGCTCAAGAAAGATCTAGTGACTCTTGTCACTTGTCTTGTGGAATGGAGAAAATCAAAGCTCAGAGAAGTGAACTGACACATTTCTCAGGTTCAGACTCTAGATCTCTAGCTGAATGGTTAGCAACACACACTACCACATATCAAACATGCTTTGGGTATTAAGGGATTCCAGGATAAACTACTGGAGTCTCTTATTTCCTTTTGCTGTGGAGAAGCTCTTTTCCCTCTGTTTAAAATTACAAAAACCTAGAAGAAAACATAGGCAGTCAGCTTTTTGACATCAGTCTTAGCAATATATTTTGGGCCAGCCTTGTCAGCCAATGGCAACAAAAGCAAAAACAAACAAATGTGATTATAGCAAACTAAAAAGCTTTTTCACAGTGAAGAAAACCATCAACAACAAAAAAAGGCAATCTATTCAATGGGAGAAGATATTTGCAAATCATAAATCCTATAAGGGATTAATATCCAAACTATATGGAGAACTTATACAACTTGATATCAAAAAAAAATCTGATTAAAAATGGGCAGAAGGCCCAGATAGACATTTTTCCAAAGAAGACATACAGATGGCCAACAGGCACAAGAAAAGATGTTCAACATCACTAATCATCAGGGAAATGCAAATCAAAACCACAATGAGATAGCACCTCACACTTGTCAGAATGGCTATCATCAAAAAGACAACAAATAACAAGTGTTGGCAAGGATGCGGAGAAAAGGGAACCCTCGTACACTGTTGGTGGGAATGTAGGTTGGTGCAGCCACAATGCAAAACAGCATAGAGGTTTCTCAAAAAATTAAAAATAGAACTATAATATGATCCAGCAATTCCACTTTTGAGTATTTATCTGAAGGAAACAAAAACACTATTTGAAGAGATACATGCATCCCTATATTCACTGCAGCATTATTTACAATAGCCAAGATATGGAAGCAACCTGTCTCCATTGACAGAAGAATAGATAAAGGAGATGTGGTATATATACACAATGGAGTATTACCCAGCCATAAAAAAGAAGGAAATCTTGTGACAATGTGGGTGGACCTAGAGGGTATTAAGCTGAGTGAAATAAGTCAGAGAAAGATAATTACCATATGACTTCACTTATATGTGGAATCTAAAAAACAAAACAAATGAACATGCAAAACTAAACAGAAATAGACTCAGATACAGGAAACAAACTAGTAGATACCAGAGTGGGGAGGGATTGGGGGACAGGTGAAATAGGTGAAGGGAATTAAGGGGTATGAACTTCCAGTTATAAAATAAATAGGTCATGGGGATGGGGATAGTCATGGGGATACAGCATAGAGTATATAGTCAATAATATTGCTATAACTTTGTATGGTGACAGATGGTAACCAGACTTATCGTGGTGATCATTTCATAATGTATATAAATGTTGAATCACTATGATGTACACCTGAAACTAATTGGATACTGTATATCAATTATACTTCAGTAAAAAAAAGAAAATTATACAAACCCTCTCCAATTACTCCCAGCACTTCCTATCTCCTTGTCCCACTCTATTTTCCTCCATAGCACCCATCACCATCTAGCAGACTACATATTTCATTTGTTTGTTTGTTTGTGTAATTGTGGTCGGTCTCTATGGGGTTTCCATGAGCAATTGAGTGTTTATTAAGTGTTCCATATATCTTTTTTTTTTCCTGATTAAAAAAATGCAAAGGCTTGGCTATGGCATTTAGTACATATATAGTCCAAACCAACGTCTCTAGCTTTCATCTAACAACTGGAAATTGACTTTGGAGCCAGATGATTCCAAGTTAAAACCCTGGCTCATCCACTTTCAGTTGACAACTTTGGAAAAGTAACTTCAGCTCTTTGAAGCTCAGTTTTTTTCATGATAAAATGGAGGATTAGGATGGATCCTTATATGAATATTTAAAATCACTTAAATCAGAGATGAGCATATAGCAAAAACCTAATAGATGTCCTCTATTATTATAAACCCTGTAGACTTCCTGTAGTCAACAAACTTGACAATTAAATAATCCGTGACATGACACCTCATTTTTCCACCTTCTGGAATTTAGTTATACTGACCTCTCCATCTGAAGTGTCCCTCCCTCCACTCCATCTCATTTCAGCCTTTTGAAATCCTACTCCTCTTCTAAGGCTCATTAAAAACTATCTCCTCTGTCCCTCACTCCATCCCAAAAGTATTTTGTGTATCTCTTAAGTCATTTAACATTGCTTTCTCTTATTATAGTTATTATTATAGTTATATTATATTATAATTATAATAATTATTATAAAACAATATAATTGTCATAATCTCAATGTTATATTGTAAATTTCCCAAGCCAAAAGCTCTGTTCATCTCTCAAACTGCCACACCAACTAATGAATTGTCTCTACAATTTAATTGACTTGATAAGTGTTTAATTCAATTAAAAGCAGGTAAGGACAGTACGGGCATACTGGAGACATTGAGGACATTGCAGGTTCAGTTCTAGACCACAGCAATAAAGTGAATATCTCAATAAAACAAGTCACATGGGTTCCTGGTGCATATAAAAGTTATGTTTACACTATACTGTAGTCTATTAAGTGTGCAACAGCATTATGTCTTAAAAAACAATGTACATCCTTTAATTAAAAAATACTTTATTGCTAAAAAACGCTACCCATCGTCCGCATCATCTGAGCCTTCAGTGAGTCATAATCTCTTTCCTGGTGGAGGCTCCTGCCTCGATGTTGATGGCTGCTGACTGATCAGGGTGGTGGTTGCTGAAGGTTGGGGTGGCTGTGGCAATTCCTTAAAATAAGACAACATTGAAGTTTGCCACATTGATTGACTCTTCGTTTTACAAATGATTTCTCTGTAGTGTGCGATGTTGTTTGACAGCATTTTACCCACAGTAGAAAGTCTTTCAAAATTGGAGTCAATCCTCTCAAATCCTGCCACTGCTTAATCATCTAGATTTATGCAATATTCTAAATCCTTTGTTATCATTTCGACAGTCTTCACAGCTTCCTCACCAGGAGTAGATTTCATCTCAAGAAACCACTTTCTTTGCTCATCTATAAAAAGCAATCCCTCATCCGTTAAAGTTTTATCATGAGGTTAAAGCAATTCAGTCACATCTTTGGGCTCTGCTTCTAATTCTAGTTCTCTTGTTATTTCTGCTACACCTTCAATTACTTCCTCCACTGATGTCTTGGACCCCTCAAAGTTATCCATGAAGGTTGGAATCAACTTCTTCCAAACTCCTGTTAATGTTAGTATTTTGACCTCTTCCCACGAATTATGAATGTTCTTAATGGCATCTAGAATGTTGAATCTTTTCCAGAAGGTTTTCAATCTACTTTGCCCAGATCCATCAGAGGAATCACTATGGCAACTATAACGTTACAAAATATATTTCTTAAATAATGAGACTTGAAAGTCAAAATTACTCCTTGATCCATGGGCTGCAGAATAGATGCTGTGTTAGCAGGCATGAAAACAGCATTCAACTCCTTGTACATCTCCATCAGAGCTCTTGGATGACCAGGTGCATTGTCAATGAGCAGTAATATTTTGAAAAGAATCTTTTTTTCTGAGTAGTAGGTCTCAACAGTGGGCTTAAAATATCCAGTAAGCCATGTTGTAAACAGATGTGCTGTCATCCAGGATTTGCTGTGCCATTTATAGAGCACAGGCAGAGTAGATTTAGCACAATTCTTAAGGGCCCCAGGATTTTTGGAATGATAAATAAGCATTGGCTTCAACTTCAAGTCACCAGCTGCATTAGCCTCTAACAAGAGGGTCAGCCTGTCCTTTGCAACTTTGAAGCCAGGCATTGACTTCTCCTCTCTAGCTATGACAGTCCTAGATGGCATCTTCTTCCAATAGAAGGCTGTTTCATCTGCATTGAAAGTCTGTTGTCTAGCATAGCCACCTTCATTGATTATCTTAGCTAGATCTTCTGGAGGATTTGCTGCAGCTTCTACATCAGCACTTGCTGCTTCCCCTTGCACCTTTATGTTACGGAGATGGCTTCTTTCCTTAAACTTGATGAACCAACCTCTGCTAGCTTCAAACTTTTCTTCTGCAGCTTCCTCACCTCTCTCAGTCTTCATAGAATTGAAGAGAGTTAGGGCCTTGCTCTGGATTAGGCTTTGGCTTAAGGGAATGTGGTAGCTGGTTTGATCTTCCATCCAGACCACTAAAACTCTCCATATCAGCAATAAGACTATTTTGCTTTCTTGTCATTTGTGTGTTCACTGGAGTAGCACTTTTAATTTCCTTCAAGAACTTTTCCTTTTTATTCACAACTTGACTAACTGGCGCAAGAGACCTAGCTTTCAGCCTATCTTGGTTTTTGACACGCCTTCCTCACTAAGCTTAATCATTTCTAGCTTTTGATTTAAAGTGAGAGACTGTGACTCTTCCTTTCACTTGAACACTTAGAGGCCACTGTAGCATTATTAATTGGCCTAATTTCAATATTGTTGTGTCTCAGGGAATAGGGAAACTCAAGGAGAGGGAGAGGGATGGGCAAACAGCTGGTGGTGGAGCAGTTGGAACACACACAACATTTATGGATTATGTTCACCGTCTTATATGAGTGTGGATTGTGGCTCCCCAAAACAATTACAATAATAATATCAAAGACCACTGATCACAGATCACCATAACAAATATAATAATAATAAAAAAGTTTGAAGTAGTGTGAGAATTACCAAAATGTAACACAGAAACAGAGTGAACAAATGCTGTTGGAAAAATGGTGCCGATAGACTTGCTCAACGCAGGGTTGCCACAAACTTTCATTTTGTAAACAATACAATACCCACAACACGCAATAAAGCGAAGTGCAATAAAACGAGATATGCCTGTACTTTTTATATCAGATAATTCAGAATTCTTATTGGCTTAACTAATGATTAAATCAATAGTAGGGTAAAATTCCTGCTGCTTAAAAACACAGATTGTCAGCAGAATTTTGAATAAGATAAAAATCATAGGAAGGAAGTATAGAGAAAGATGGTCCAGGGAGAAGGAAATGAAATCATGACTGTCCCACAGTCTACACAGCTACAACTGGCAGTGAGTGACCTTTTTTTTTCAGAAGTTGTTATTTTAGGGCCACGGATTACTGGTTAAAGGGAATGAGGTAAGACTACAGGGAAACAAAAATGCTTCAGGCATAGTCTTAGCATTCGGCTCTTCAACACAACTTCCTGATGTTATTAGTAGAATGGGTTAAGTCCACATACTTGCTAAAATATCGCATTTTAGATACTGGCACTTGGAAGGTGTTTTGTACACACAGGTAAGTTTAGCTTTAGCAAAAAAAAAAAACAAACCCTGCTGTTACTTTAATTCAGGTTGATTTGATTTTAGCCAGATTTCAAAACAAGGCTAATATCCAACTTCTAAATTCCTAAAAGAATGTATTAACAGGAAGAAAACAGTAAACTGAGTAAAGAGAATGATGAATGATATGTGATGGAAATTAAATTCCTCTATGGACAGAACTGATAAAAGAAATTATTTTGATATCATGAATTATAAGGTTAAGGTAATCAGAGCATTGGACACAGGTCATTCTGTGACTTCACACCATCTCCATCTAGAAAAGGAATCTTATGCACATAGTTACATAGAATGGGTGAGTTCGTGAAAATTTCCATGTGATTATTATAATAAATTGAACCAAATATCAAATGAACCAAGAGTGCGCCAAACGTGTATTAAATACTTTCCTTAAGAAACCATCATTTAACTGTTTCTAAACAGTCACCATTTACTTTATAAATTTTAGAAGAGCAAAATTTGAGAGGTAACCTAGTTTGTTTACACCAACAAAACAGGCAGAGAGAATCTATGTCTTGCAAAAAATCACAAGATAAAATAAGACCAGAACCCTGGTCTTTTTTGAGTTCAAGTTAGTATTAAATCAACTCCAATATAACTGCCCTCAATATTTTCTTACAGAGTTTTCTTCATACGGATTTTTAACAACATACTTAATACATCAGAAAAATAAAGAATTGTTTTTCCTTTTTTTGCATGCCAAGGTAAATATTTCATGGTCTTTGCTCTTTTATACTTTAAAAGTGAAAATAATTACATGGTTAATTTTATTTTATTAAGCAGATTTCTTTGAAACATTTGTCAAAAGATAGTGAGCTGATAAAAGTTCCTTTCTGATTACACCCGTCATTTTCACTGCAGAATGGTTTCTGCACATACTATTTTGTAAAATAACTTTTATTAGAGGTAATATGTAAAATATAAGTAAAAAGTTAACACTACATTTGGACACAACTGATAGATTTTAAAATTTGTTTATCCAAAATTTTTGCTGATGGAATATTTCTGTGAGAATACATGAGAAATTTCTTACCATGGTTGCTCTCTGGAAGGTAAATTCTATGCTTAGGGATAGGGGACTACATACTCTTTTGCTTAAAAAAAAAAGTATTCCCATCATTTTATCATTTAAAATCAAACAGCAACAACAAAACATTTTTCAGAAAGCTGTGCGATCATGGGATTTCAGCACTTCCCAATTCATTTTAATTTAACCAATTTACTTAAAATGATATTAGCATGTGAATTATTTGACAAGAATAAAAGCTAAAAAAAAGTAGACTAATATGTATTTCATCTCTAATTTGTCTCATAATACTGTGGAAGAAGTTAAAGAACAACTAGGGATTTATAAATATTTATCACTGCATGCAAGTAGATGATTTCACTGGGAAGAAATTTCCAGGCCAAAATAATTCTATTTTTATGATTTGGAACAGACATACATTAATTTACTTAACCAACTTATTTAATTTGAGTGCTGAACTTATTTAATTTAGGCCACATTAACTACTTTCACTAACTTATTTAAGCTATTTTTAACTAACCTTTTAAATTTAAGCAATGGGGCATCAAACAAATGAATTGGTTCTGGAGGCAGATGTGAGTTTTTGTCTCAGCTCACTGCTTACTAACAGGGAAAACTCCGGCAGCTGATCTAACTTCTTTGAGCCTGGAAGATCCTGGATGTGTGGTATTTCAAATACAGAAAAAGAAACAACATTTTTCCTTTGTGAAAGTGGTTTATCAGGTGTAGATACACAAATACGGTTAGAAACGAAACATATCTTAGCTAATTCACCCCTTCCCTGCCCCATCACATATTTTACAAATTAGAAAACTAAAATCCAGAAAAAAATAAGTGACTTTTCCAGTGATGGCCTGTGGCAGAGCTGGGACTGGAACATCTGAGTACTCACCAAGTAGCTTATTGTTCTTTTCATTCTAATATATTCAGTGAGGACAAGTGGGTGGAACCTGGCAAGAAACTATGAACAAACAAAAGCCTCTGCTTAGAAAACAGGGAGTGGCTGTGGCTGTCTAAGGCCAAGCACCCTGACATATTGTTAATGCCTCCAGGCTTAACTTGAATTTGACTCTATACCCAGAAGGTAATCTCCAGAGAGGAGAAATACCTGACTGCTTGGGATGGTTGCTTACCTTCACGCTTTATTTTTCTTCTAGTCTTTTGAGCATCTTTTAATTTATAGTCAAAGAGAAAGTTTATATTGCACATAAACATTTTTCACATCAGACACTTTTCCTGGCTTTACAAAGTGGCAGCCAGATGAATACTGCTTTGCAGAAAGTGGAGAAACCAATGCTAAGTGAAGCCATGCCTACATCTAGGAAGATGCTTGAGGCAGGAATTCAAAACTTGGTGTCAAGCGTCATCCAAACCTTGGCAAATGGGGAGTAGAGAAACTTTCTGGTAAGAACTTTTAAGATTCCTGCTTCTGTCTTCTCTAGTATTATGGGCTTATCCTCCAATCATTACAGAACATTCTCCGGAAGAAAGAATAAAAACTCTGCTGTTGAGGATGCAGACCATTTATTGTGAGAAAATGGCCATGCAAGTTGTAAACAATACTCATATGCCCCTTTTATCCCAAAATGTGTAAATCCATGTCAGGCATTTAACAGACTGGATGGATATTCATCAACAGATGTGGTGCGTGTCTCTGAGATTCCAGCTCAGTTTCATTTTCCTCTTGGGCCTTTTCTTAAGCGTCCACATCTCCCACCAATAAACACGGACATAACTAGAGGAAAGTTACACGCTGTATATTTTTGAAACTCTGGGAGAGGTGAAGGGCCGCTATTTCCTGCCGGGTCGTCTCCTCCTTTTCTTGCTTCACAAACAAAACCCGGATGTGACTTGGAAACGGAAAAAAAAAGGAACAAAAAGTAAAATTTGTGTTGTTCCTCCAGGAAAGTGGGCTAGCGCAACCCCAACCCTTGGGCCCCAGCCCAGGCCGGTCCCCCGCGGGCGTGGCACGATCGGGAGGCAGACCCGGGGCCAGCATCCCCGCTGGGAGATCGTCCTGGGCCGCCTCTCACGCTAAGCCCTTCTCGGGCTCACTGGGGCAAGCTCCCGGGATGTGGGGACGTGAGAACAAGACCAGGGGTTTTAAGATCCTGGGTCGCTGGACAGGGCTGGTGTGAGGGGACGTCCCGCAGGCAGCTGAGCCCTCGGGGCGCTGGGGGACCACCGCGCGGGGAGGCGGTCACGTCCTGCGCCGGCGGGCGGGGTGCGCGGGCACCGCAGTTATTTCGGGACGCGCCGCGGTTTGCAGCACTTCCCGCCGCTCCACTTCCAGGGCTGTCCCTGGGCCCAGTTCTGGGGCGAAAATGCCGGCCCTTCACATCGAAGATTTGCCAGAAAAGGAAAAGCTGAAGATGGAAGTTGAGCAACTTCGCAAAGAAGTGAAGTTGCAGAGACAACAGGTAATTGGGCTGTCCCAGAATATTTCCTTCTCTGAAATGAACCACGGTCAGCTTTTCCTGGTTTGTTACAGTAAAACAAATAAGAGTTTGGGGTTTTGCTTTTGCAGCTTCTCTTGAAGTAGGACTTGGGTGGTGCCTGGGAACTGCCAGTTGATGTAGGGAAATCATAGGAGGTAAAGGAGAGAGCAAGGATCCTATGAGTAATTTGAACCCAAATGTCCAAACGTCTGAGGAGCCTAGAATGGGGGGAATAGACAAGAAATTCTTCCTGCTCTTAGAGAGTCGGCTTTAAAAACTCAAGCTGTAGGAAGAAGGCAGATGGCTATTTAGTTCCTTGATCTTTTTCATTATGGGAAAGAATGCTATTTGAAAGGGTTTTTGTTTGTTTGTTTTTTTAAATCACAATTTAAAGCCTTGAATTACCTAGTTTTGAATTTCACGAAGGCTCTCCAGAGGTGTGCAATGAACAGCCCTTTGGAACAAAACATTACGATTTCTATTTTGATTTATTTGTAAATCTCATCCCTTTATAATTTCCACTTTATGTTTTTTAAGTATGCGCAATGAACTAATACAGTAGTATCTGGATTTGTTTACAAATAAATGATTATACATATACTGAGGTACATATGAAAATTCTTTTTAGGGATTATGGTGAATAATTTTAGAGACCACTGAAATGGATTACATATTGAGAACATATGCCCCAGGGTTCAGAAGTCACCAATGAAATTTGTTGGAGATTTTGTAATTTTTACTTCAATTTCTTACTAGGAATAGGGGTCTTCGGTTCTTCCTTTTTTCCTCAATTAGGCATCCTGTAGTCGGAAAATAAGCTTCTGGACAGATACTTTTTAAGGGAAACGATCTAGTCCTTTCTCCATAGCAAGAAAAATTTAAACAATTTTATTTCTCTCCGGTTTAATACTAGAAAAAAATTAAGAAAAACAATGGAAATGAAGCAGAGATGGTAAATACGCTCACTTGCCTTCCTGCTTTAGTTACTGTAAATCTGTTCATGACAAGAGTCTTGTGACTCCAAATGCACATTGTGAGTGAGGTTTGGAACATGCAAGCTTTTTCGAGTTTTACTCTTTATACATTTCTTTGCTCGAATTTAATCTTTCACTTCCAAATCCCTACTCTTCCTAGATTTTGGATTGCAAAGTCCTTTTTATCCACGTTAAGAGTTTTTATAGCTTTAAAAACACAGCTGTGTTTAAAGGAAAAAACAAAGCTACAGGATCTAATTAGTAGACTTGTTTCTTGAAATTTTAAGGGACCCATTCTATGGATGGCAAAGCCCACAGTACGGCGTGTGTTGGCCACTTAGATTTTTCACACAATGAACCTTAGAGGTTACATATTAAACAGAGTTGTGTATACTGAAATAAAGCATTGTTTGTGCAGAGTTGGAATATCTTTTGTTTTTGTTTTTTTTGCTGAGGAAGATTCACCCTGAGCTAACATCTGTTGCCAATCTTCCTCTATTTTGTATACGAGCTGCCGTCGCAGCACGGCCACTGATAGACGAATGGTGTAGGTCCGCGCCAGGAGCCGAACCCGGGCCATGGAATGGAGCGTGCCAGACTTAAGCACTAGGCCACCTGGCCTGGCCCCAAAGTTGGAATATCTTGATATCTGGTATCATTATGCAAAATTTATAGGGGAGAAATGAGACAAGTGTCTTCTAGTTATTTAAAGCTTCAAATTAGGAATTTTGCATGGGCCTAGATGCAGCTGAGTATGTGGAAATTAAAGATATCATTCATTAGCAGTTTCTCCTTGCCAGCTCTCGGCTGCCAGCTCAGCCCCTTAGACACACCCTGCTGGATCAATTTTCCAAATCCAGAAGCTTCAAGTGTTTGCCAGAGGGAGTGAAAACTTAAGAAAGGGCCTTAGGGGATAAAGGGAGAGGCATCAATGTCATAATAATAATATTCAAACATATCTTATTATGCACTTTTAATTATAGAGTATTAGTGCTAGACAAATATGGCTCTTAGAGATCATTCAACCCTCTCATTTTTAAGGATGAAAAACTAGAATCCCAAGGAGGCTCACTAGCTCCTCATTTAAGACCCCAGAGATAATGATAGCGTAATTACGAAAACACATCTCTTCTGACACCCAGTCCATTATTCTGTCAATAAATTGTTCATGTCTGAGCTGTGTGCTCTGCTCAGGCCAAGGACACAAAATTCACAGGCTGACTTCTGGCTCCAGCTAATTGTTCAAACATATCCACTTGATCGTGGAAGGAAATGCATCAAAGGAGTAATTATTCACTTTTAGAGGTTACAGATCTCTTTGGAAACCTAATGAAGAAGTCTCTTTAAGAACAGATACAATTTGGGGACACTTGAATCTTATACACAAATTTCTCTGGGGCCACAGACCCCAGGTTATGAATACTTGCGTCATCACTTCTGAGAATTCACTTAAAATGCGCACACTATGAATGCCAGCAGCAACGGAGAGCAGATGCTACCTGGGAGAATGATACTTGAAAAGATTTCCTTTTGCCACATTTTAAGTCATATACATACAGCACCTAGTTTTAAATATAAATCAATGGCCTTCACACTGGTGTGCAAAGAGTCTTTGGGGTGTGGGAGTAAAATATTAAAATTTCTATTTTTGGTTAGTTTTAAATCTCATCTTTTTATAATTTCCAGGTTATGTTTTATAATTATGCATGATGTATTAACAGAGTAGTATTAGCACTTATTTATAAGTAAATAATTTTATACATTTGGGATACATATGCAAACATGTTTTAGTGATCATCATTAAAACAGTCTAAAGATTACTAATCTAGATTACAAATTCAATGGGAACATTTGCCTAATTTTAAGAGGTCTCCATGGGAATTTGCTGGAGTTTCTATTTTTACTTCTAATTTCGTATTGGTAATGCAGGCCTTTATTAAGGCACTAATCCTTTTTTTTTTTTCCTCTCCTTTGTATTCCTTTTTTTCTCACTCTTGCAAGCTGTCTCTTCAAGTTAGACTTTTTGAAGAAACTATTCAGTCTTTTCTCCATTGCAAATAGAGTTTAAAATGATTACATAAACTCAAGAGTCTTAGATAAGCATAATCAGCTTCAGATAAGTGTTCTATTAAGATCATTGCCCTCAAGCAATGGGAAAGAATTCTGAGCAGAGACACAGAATGAGACATTGAGCAACTTCAACCTTTCCAGAGTCAGACTTTCTCCAATGCTTTATCATTTTGTGAAATTGCAGAACATGGCACACACCCATAATAAATGAGAATTTTGGCAGGACACACTCCAAAACATTTGGGAATTTACTACTGCCCTGTTCATTAGCATGGAAGATTGGAAGCAGGGCATGTTTTAGTTCCTAAAATATCGTGGACACGTCATAATTGAATTTTAGCAAAGGAAGGAAGTCATATGAGGCACAATGGATAGAAATTGCCAGAGATGATTGATTTGATACAGTGACTTTCAAACTTTTTGATTCTGACCATAGTAAGAAATATATTTTACACAGATTGTATCATTCATATATATTCCATATGTTCTGTGCTGCTCTCTAATATTTTTATTCTATTATATTCTATTTCATTTTTAAAAATGCTGGTTGTACCCAATTATATTAATTTCACTAAAGGGTCGTGACAAAGTTTGAACAATCCTGACCTAACTCATTTTCTTTTCTTAAGGTGTCTAAATGTTCTGAAGAAATAAAGAATTACATTGAAGAACGTTCTGGAGAGGATCCTCTGGTGAAAGGAATTCCAGAAGACAAGAATCCCTTTAAAGAAAAAGGCAGCTGTATTATTTCATAAATAACTCTGGGGAGAAACTTCGTCCTCAGTGGAAGAACTAGTTTGTTTTAGTTTTCCAGAATAAAACTGACATGCCTTTTAAAGAAAAAAATAAACAACAAAATTCAAAGGAGACTTTCTTCAGCACTTATGTAGATATGGCTCTGTATAAAAGCTATGTGCTTCTCATCTTCACTCACTACACACCTGTTTTAAGAGGGCAGAGTATCAAATGTACAGTTATGGAAATAAGGACATTACTTCTGCATGATTCACCTCTTTCGGTATATTGCTTGATGCCTCAAATAAAGTTTTATCTCTGGAAAATGAGTGTTGATGATTTAAGAATGCATTTTATTTATTTTTTTTGCATTAACTTTTATATTTCTCCCCATAACCTTTCCAGTGTTTGGGACATGTATCAAAGGATTAGGTGGTTTGATAGATCAGGTCTCCAATCCAGCTCTCTCTGCCTCAATTCTCAGGAGGTTTACAGTGCTGAGTTCTGACTTCTGGAATGTTTTTGATCTAACGTTAACTATTAGGGAATTGAGTGAGTAGAATTCCTAATGTTGACAGGAGTCAGATTATCTGAGTCAGGAACCAGGCCAAGCCATGCCTACATGAGCACTTCCTGGTTTATCATCATACAGATCTTGTTCAAACTGTTGCAATAGTGGCCTTAGGATAGGGAGAGGGTTGGGGTCAAGAGGAGCACCTCTGGGGCCAGCTCTGGAATGTTCGCCCTCAGGTTGCTGCATCTCCCACAGGCTTTCCAGGTCTGGGGCATGGCTACCCTCCAGTTCTGTGGCATTGGCACAGACGCTTGGCTTTGCACGGCTTGGGCCGAGCACGCCTCTTTTCCTTCTCCTCCAAAGGAAGCAGTTAATCTTTTGCCCATTTCTAAAATTAGCTTGCTTTTTTCTCATTGATTTGAAGGAATTTGTCATATATTCTGACGATGCATCCTTTGTCGGTGATAGGTGTTGGAGATACCGTCTCCCAGTCCATGGCTTAACATTTCACAGCAAAACCACAGGTGCAACACGCCAGAGTACACGGCCTGCTCAGGCCCTTCATGAAGGCGCCTGCAGCTGCGACCTCAAAGAAGGGACCTTTCTTCCTTTCTTTGAGCATTTTTCCTCCCTCTCTGTCTGTCTTTTGGATGCAAATTGCTCCAGGTTTGAGCCAAAAGAAAGACAAGCAAAACACTTACAGGTTAGCTCCAGCTCAAATGGGCTTAGTTACTAACACACCCTGCAATTTTAAATGTGACACCAGAAGCCCGCGTTTCTCCTTGACTAGGTCTTCTCTCCAGCTTAGACTCATAGATGTACTTTATCAAGCCAGAGCGGGGCCCGTGACTTCTAGCAGCTTCCTCAAGTATATCAGCATCTTCACCCCGAAATTACTTTCCCTTCCCTCTCTGAGAAGGAACAGGATACTCTAGGCTTTTGAAAGAGCAGTTTAGAGAAACCAAGATCTGGGACTATCTCCTTCAGTTTCTTGCCTTTTTTCCAAGTGTTGATGTCAATTGGGATTGCTGAGAGCCTAGGGATAATTTTAGCCCAAAGCAAGATTTAGTCCAAGGTGAGGTTTAAGAACAGTAAAGGTATATTTTTTTCCAACAGCCATAGAACAATTAGTATTTGGGTTGTCTTGCTGCTATGTCATTTAACACTTAAAGAGGCATGGGATTTTAGTAGCTTGATGCTTGTAAAGTTTTACTTTAATGAACTGTTTCCTTTCTTTCAAGTCATAAAGTTTTCTTCTGTTGCATATAGAGGCAAACATATATTCTGGTTATTGGTAAAGCAGATCAAATCACCTACTTTCTTCCTGAAGGGCCAAGTCAATACACTTATCCCCTAACTTCTTAAGACTTGTGGATTACAAGGCTATATCCTGAATTTCTATTAGCCACATTCAGCTACGCACTCGTGTGCACCTCCAAGTCTTAGCTTTTGCTCCTCATGTAATTTCAACCCTATGACAAATTAGTCAGCCTACTTCTGGATTTTCCTTAATATTCAATCTTGTATTTGTTTCTACTAAATCTAATTCTGTTCTTTTTTTCTTACTGTTTCATCATAGTAACTCAGCAAACGTATAAGAAGTATAATAAAATCCTCTTGATTTTCAAATGTTGAATTTATTAGCTTGCATTAGGAAGAAAATGAAAATATGGTAACTATATATTTGGATATATTATAAAAGTAACCTTTATTAAGTAGGAATTTGTTAAGTAGAATTTAAATCATGTGTTCAATTTCTTCCATTATATAGTTGTGTAATCATTTGATATCTGATTAAATAGTTATTATGCTTTGTGTATTGAGACTTAAATTCTACGAACTCATATTAAATTAGCAAAATTGGCTTTCCTATTTCTAGGCAGAATATACATTACAAGCTCACCCATACTTGGTATTTTAAGACAGTTTATTTTGTATGTTGAATGCAAACTGGTATCTCATTATTGTCTAAATTTGCATTTTCTTGATTTCTTATGACTCCACCGTCAGATTTTTATGTACCTTTTGACTACCTTCACCCATTTCAAACACCCCCCGACCCTCCGCCTCTGGCAACCACCTCTCTGTTCTCTCTATGAGTTTGTTTTCCCTTTTTTTAGATTCCACATAAAAGTGAGACCATATGGTATTTGTCTTTCTCTGACTTATTTCACTTAGCATAATGCCCTCTAGGTCCATCCATGTTGCTGCAATGGCAAGATTTCCTCCTTTTGTTATGGCTGAATAATATTCTATTTTATATATATATATATATCACATTTTCTTTATCCATTCCTCCATCAGTGGACACTTAGGTTGTTTCCCTATTTTGGCTATTATAAATAATGCTGCAATGAACATGGGAGTGCAGGTATCTTTTTGAATTAGTGTGTTTTTTTCTTTGGATAAATACCCAGAAATGGAATTGCTGGATCATATAGTAGTTCTATTTTTAAGTTTTTGAGGAACCTCCATTGTGGCTGTATCAATTTACAATCTCACCAACAGTGCACAAGTGTTCCCTTTTCTCCAAATCCTTGCCAACACTTGTTATTTCTTGTCTTTTTTATAATAGCCATTCTAACAAGTGTGAGGTGATATCTCACTGTGGTTTTGGTTTGCATTTCCCTAATAATTAGTGATGTTGAGCACCTTTTCATGTGCCTATTTGCATCTACGTTTATTTGTTTAGAGAAACATTGGAAGGTTATACAGGAAATTAATAAAAATTGCTACCTATGAGAGCCAGTGTTGGATATAACCAGATGGGAAAGGATGAGATTGAGACTTCTCATTGTATATTTTTCTATAAAGTTTTGATTTCTATAAAATTTTGAACTATTATCTAGTTTAAAAAGTAAAATTAATTTAAAAATAAAAAATAGAAGCAAAATTCATATTGCTGTGTTCAGGTTTTACAGAGCAAGTGTATTCTGGTATTAATATCCTATGAATCAGAAATAATTTTGTATAGTCAACATGATCTAATAGTAAATTTTGATCTATTAACTTTATCCCACAAAGTACAACAAAGATATTGAGTCAGTAATAGTTATATTTCACCCTTAACCCCTTTAAGTGAAACTTAGAAGGATGGTAATCACTGAGAAATAAGCCCGTATTTCTAACATAACAGTCTAGGAGAGCAGGGACTAACGAGAACGCATCTTTGATTTAATAGAGAAGAGTCGGATGGTCAGAGACGGAAACAGCTCTCCTGTTAGGATGAACCCTGATACCCTACTCTGTGCATTGGGCTGTCCTATCAAGGAAGACTAGGACGTCATCAGCACCTTTTTCACTTGAGCTACATTCAGTTTGAGGGAATGAGTCTACAGACTATTAAAAACCATTTACTGGCATTGGGAGAGTAGAGATGCATTGATGCCAATTCTGCCTTTTCCTTTTGGTTCACACACTCATTAAATGATGACCTCTTCTTTTTTTTAAAAAAGTATCTGATATTAAAGAGTGCATAATTTCATTGAATATGGAAATGGGCAGGGAGAGATTAAAATAGGTGGGTTATAAATTTCAGGAATTGGCCCTGAAGTTATTGTACAAATGTTACACTTAAAATGAAGGAAAAAGATCCTTGTAAAATTCAACAGTCATGAAAAATAATTCATATTGATATGTATTCAGTATATGTAAGCATTTGTTTATGCAACAACAAAAATATCTGGAGCTCCTTCTACGTCCTAGGCACTGGTTTAGGCCTAAAGGATATAGTGGGGTGCCGGCCCAGTGGCACAAGCAGTTAAGTGCGCACGCTCCGCTGCGGCGGCCCAGGGTTCACCGGTTCGGATCCTGGGAGCGCACCAACACACTGCTTGGCAAGCCATTCTGTGGCTGCGTCCCATATAAAGTGGAGGAAGATGGGCACAGATGTTAGCCTAGGGCCAGTCTTCCTCAGCAAAAAAAGAGGAGGATTGGCAGATGTTAGCACAGGGCTGATCTCCCCACAAAAAAAAAAAAGGATATAGTGGGGAATTAGACAAAGTCCTTAACATTACGGAATTTACAGAAATTAGAATTAATCAGATATACGTGGAAATTACACAGTATATTATGATCTGTAAGTTAGGATAAATAGGAAAGTGTTTTTGCATTTTTTAATGATGATACTGATGATGACATAATGATAATTATGATGATGATGGTAATGATAACAATGATAGCTTATACACATGAAGTGCTTGATATTTATCTGGCACTGGAGTAAGTTTTTTCCGTAGATTATATCTTTTAATTCTCACGAGTACCTATGTCTCGGGTAAATAATTTACACAAAATTGTATAGCTAGTTTAACTGTCAAAGCAGAGACTGTGCCTCAAACACTATGCAACCCTACCTCTCTTGTACAAGCCAACACACATGCAGAGTGAAACAAACTATTAATTCAACAATTTTCTGAAGAGGCTTTTGGTATAGGTATAGTTATTTGGTATAGGTACAGCTACTATAGCCTCAGAAATTTTTAGCACTGGTGTATGACATAGAGTTTTATAGTAGCTTATTTTAGTTGTTTTTATCTGTTGGTTGGTTGGTTGGTTGGTTGGTTGGTTGGTTGATGGATTTTCTATATTCACAGCCTAATATAACAATTTTAACCTACACCAAGTGCGAAGATTTTGCTTTCATAGTAAAAACTGTATCGCAATTCTAAATTATTATAAGAGTGATGAACTCTAATTATATATCAAATAGCTTTTGCTCATTTGCTGAATAATATAATCTCTCAGTTTAATACCAGAATTTATCTGATAGAAGCTACCTGAATTATTGTGCCTAGAAGAGTGCCTA